CAACTTTTAAGGGCGCAGTGGCAGGTTGCTTCTGAGGTTGCCAAAGAACCATAACCAGCACCATATCATAGCGTACTTACCAGAAATCCTGAGTGCAGAGCTGATCTTCTTCCACGTGCTGTTTTGTAAGTAGGTATTTGGCCTAAAATATTGTCTGTGGGACTCTTGAACTCTGTTTATCTCAAGGCGCAGCTGTTGCACCTCGAAAAAAAGGTACTCGAGAACACATGCGCACTAGGATGGCGTCGTTCTGCCATTTGAGTGCGTCTGCTGCTGCGCGTCTACATTGAAAACAGTGAATTTGAGGGCACAAAAAACACGGCTTGTGTACGGCTCCTAAAAACACACACTGAGGTGGCCCTATTGTTTGGTTCTGTGTGGAAAACCTTTGTAGCGACTCTATCACGTGATCTCTGAATGAAAAGGTAAAGTGACGTGAAACTCGTGCTCCTGACAGTGTGAGATGTAACATAAATGGCGTCCTCTTTGGCTGAGCTATAATGTAGATATATCTAACTACGTTATTAGTTATCAGTAGATGCACGCTTCCTTCTGTTTGGTGATACGGTTGGCAGGTGTAGTTCAATAGAAAGAAAATAGTTCCTACATGAAACTGCTCAGAACAAGGTCTGTGGATTATCTTGAGTAACCAGGTCATGATTTCTGGAAGTTTTTCTGGAGTTTTCAAATGTATTTTTTGGCACGTTGAGCTCCACAAGCTGAGTGCCATCTAGTTCCATTATACTGGAGAGAAAACAGACATCTCTACAGCTGATATCTCCAACACTCGGCAACTCACACCACAACAATCTATAACGATAAATATTACTACAGGTAAGAGGGAAAATATGTGTCATTGATTTGGGAGCAAACTGTCCCCTTAACATATTATCAGTGGGCAAATTGTCCAAGAAACTCACAAGACAAATAACTACAATGGTATATTCATTTGATAATCTTTTAGAAGATGGCACTAATTAATAATTTGTCATCACTGTGAGGCAGTTTTGTACACATACATAACAAATCAATAACATTGATTTGGAAGATGAAACAGTATTTTTAGAGCTTGCAACTTCAAACTAGAGATACAGTATTCTATATGTCACTGGCCGCTGGTGCCTCTATGGCTCTACCTCATCTTAAATATGGATTTGTGGAACAGTGCTATGCATACTGTATTGTCCCTCCATCAATGATCTAATCATGTATGTGTAACCAAACTGTTTGCCTCATTGTGAAAATCATTTGAGTTGAACCAAAACATCCATAATAAATGAAAACCAATGTCCAAAACCTAAATGACTGTATGATAAGCATAACTGTGGAGCAGCACAAACCATCAGCTACACAACCACAGAGCATTCTTCTTAGCAAATTGTAGAAACATGTCTTAATATTCAACTGTATGCAGATTATAATGGAAGACAAAGACGTCCCCCAGCCCTTAAATATTTAACTAATTGTATTTTCATTACTGGCCACATGGTGGCAGCAGAGGCTTAGTTGACTGTACAGTTCTTTCAGTAATTAAATAAATCTGTTATTTGGCAAATATTTGTTGCATATACATAGTGTTTTCATTTCAGTGGAACTTGATCAGAAAAAAAGTCCCAGGGACTACAGTGATTAATTTACCAACAGGTATGCCACCTGTTGGTAAATTAATCACTAAGGTATATCCTACATGTCCTCATGTGTTCTGTACTGTGACTGCTCATGTGCTCTGTGGTTACAGTAGCTGATGGGCTGCTCTGATATGATCACACATGAGGGTGTGACCTTTTGGTACAGCGCTGCTCATTTAAGAGGAGGTGACCCTTTTCATGTAGAGTCAATGGAGTCAGTGGTCACTAGAGTTGGTTTTAAGTCTTCTTTCTGAATGTTGCGTATATGGCTCCCTCTAGTGACATTAACGTTAACATGCTTTTACTGTCTTGAAGGCAGTTTGTACTTCATGTTCTTTACAGAGGTGCTGGAGGTTTTCTGTTCTGAGAAGTGAAGCCCCACAGCTGAATCACCACAGGAGGTTTATTTAAGTGCAACAACTTGTTGCAGGTTGACACTTTTTTGCAACAAACACTTATATTTGCACAATATAGGTAATTTTACAAATTGCATCATCACAGGTACATTACTCAATCCACCTCCTCTTACTGTGCAGGGGTCATGTGGGTTTGTTACAGATCAAAAATTTGAGATTTTTTTCTGTTTTTCATTGTGCTCGTGTTGAGCTTTCATTTTTTCAAAGTTTTGTTTAAAAACATTTTTTTTAAACTTTAAAAAAAATCTTCAAATAACAAACAACAAACCCATCAATTTATAATCCCAAGCAGCACTTCAATTTTGATAAATGCCTAAACATACACAAAATGTTAAATAAATTGAAATATAGAATAAAATAATTTTAACATTTAAGGGGTATAATTTAAATAAAACTCATGTCATTCAGAGTCTTAAGGCACTCCTCTTTTTTTCCAAGTCATTTTTAAATGCCACAAATCTTGGAGCAACTTTAAAAAAACCCATTACATTTACATTTGTGCATAAAACATTTATCTGTAATCAAAGTATCATTATGCTAAAATTCAACCAACCTAATAAAATGAAATATTTTTAGATTTTGTAAGTGCTTTGTCCAGTTGTGTGCAACATTTTATTTTATTTTTGTTTTTATTTTATTTTATTACAACTTAAAAACAAAACATCTTCAAAAAATAAACAGCAACAAACACATCATCTAATAATCAGGAGCAGCGTACTTTAAGGAGAAATGGGAAAAATGGAAATATCAGACAAAAAAAGAAAATGAGAAAAAAAATGAAATAAGAAAAATATAAGAAAAAAGCTAATGTGAATAATAATCCCGAACAGCACTTTAAAAGAAGGAGAAAAATGAGAATTTAGGGAAAAAAAACAAAAACAAACCCAACATAAATATATGGGGCATTCTACCGAATGTGTGCAAAGTTAGGCTGGAAATATTTGAAATTTTGTGTGTTTTATTTCCAAAACTTTTCCCTATATATATTGTACCATATGTAAAGGTCACATATCTAGTAAAATGACTGTAAATTTTTATATTGTATTTTCAGACTGTTTTGGAATGTTTTTCCTCTTCCAAAATTTGTCACTACCGAAACATATAGTATTATATTACACAAAAAAATATATATCAACCTGTTATGCTTGTTCCTTCCCTTGTTTAAAGATTTAAATTTTTTCAAATTTTGACTGAAGGTTTTCACAATTAAATCTATAAAAAATAATTTTAACAAATTTCGAAGTTCAAATTATAGAATTCTTCAAAATCTAAATGCAATCTTTCTTTGTAAAATGCATAACGCTGATCAGATTGTTTTTAGAGTTAATAATTGATAAAACAGAACATAAATGTAACCGATTAGCATCATAATACTTTAGTTGATAACTCAATATACTTTATTTTTTACAAAACACCCAGTGTTTCGGTAGTGACTGCACTGTTTCGGTAGTGACCATTATACTGTTTTTAAGGTTGCATCGTATTTCCTCAAATGTATGCCTTATGGTGGGAATTACAAATTCAAAGACAAATGTTTTGTGGTCAGTAAAACAATTTAATTTTTGAGATGGCAGAGCAGAGTAGAGTAGAGTAGAGCAAAGTAGAGCAGAGTAGAGCAGAACATAGTAGAGTAGAGCAAAGTAGAGCAGAGTAGAACAGAGCAGAATAGAGTAGAGAAGATTAGAGTATAGAGTAGAGCAGAGTAGAGCAAAGTAGAGCAGAGTAGAACAGAGCAGAATAGAGTAGAGAAGAGTAGAGTATAGAGTAGAGCAGAGTAGAGCAAAGTAGAGCAGAGTAGAACAGAGCAGAATAGAGTAGAGAAGATTAGAGTATAGAGTAGAGCAGAGTAGGGTAGAGGAGAATAGATTACAGAGTAGAGTAGAGCAGAGCATAGTAGGGCAGAGTATAGCAGATTATAGAGTAGAGCAGAGCATAGTAGAGTAGAGCAGAGTAGAGAAAAGTATAGTAGAGCAGAGTATAGTAGAGTAGAGCAAAGTAGAGCAGAGTAAAGCAGACTCAACCAGAGCATTAAAACTCTTGTGTTTCGGTAGTGACATGAAAACAAGGGACACTATGTTTTTAGCATAGTTTCTTAATTTAAAAATTAATCCCACAATACATCTAAATCTTTCAACTTCTGTTTAAAATTAATCACAAAGATGTTTTAAATTAGACTTTTGAAAAAAATATGAAAAATGTTATAAGTGTTATTTACATGAATTGAATTTTAGAGGTCAGGGTTGGGGACAGCTACTTCCCAATACAAAGTACCCTATAAATGGTGATTTTGTATATATTTAGCTTATCACTTTCTCATTTAATGTGCTGGGTTTAAATAGGCCATAACATAATCTTTGTGAATATCTATGTCTGATTACTCAATTATATTATTTTTGTTGTTTTTTTTGGTAAGGGACAGCACTTTGCACAAAATCGGTAGAATGCCCCATATATGTATAGAAATTCAAATAAACTATAGTATGAATTAAACTAACTTTAACATGAAGGTAGTTTAACCTAAGATTTTCAAGTCATTTTTAAATAAGCAATCTACTTTTTTCCTAATTAAAAAATTACCTATAATCAAAATATTATTACAATGAAATTCAACCAACTTAATAATATGACATATGTTGAGATTTTGTAAGGTTATATTTTATTCATTAGCTGTTGACACGACTTCCGTGTTATTCACCTGCTAAACACCACATGTCTGTGACTCGTGTGAATCAGTAATGTGTGTCCTATGCTGGAACTATTTTATGGTTCTGAGTCGTAATTATTATAATTATAAAAATATCTAAAAGCACGAATAGCATCAATCCCGGCTTCAATTGAGCACACTACGAGAAGCACCGCCCAGTGGGGTAATCTAAGTTCTCGAAACGAGCGCTCCCAACACACGCTCAGTTTGAACTGCGCAACAGCCTCTCTGCTCTCTGATTGGCCAGTCACCGCTGACACGCACTCACTGACAAACGGTAGCAGGTTGAGTGGGTGACAGCGGCTAGCATCACACTTCAGCCGTGAAACAGCGGACGTCAGCTAAGTTAACAGGAAACAGCGGGTGAATTAGTGTTGTAGACAGTTGAACAGACCGTCTGCCAAAAGGATAAAACGTTATTTCTGAGTACGGTGAGGATGTCTGTCCCGGCAGGAGAGGGATGAAGATGACACCACTGTTATGGCGAGTTGTGTCAGTGTGGCTATGTATGGCTGTGCTCTTTCGGTAAGTTCATTAATTTTGCCCCGTTTGAACTTAGCATCATTATCATGTCACTGACTGTGGAAACTAACTGTCTGACAAACGTTACCTAATGTTTGTATCGGTTACAACGCTAGCTAGCTAGCTAACCTAGCGTTAACATCACACTGTGATGTGGCACCTGGCTGACTTCTGACTTGTTGTCAGTGTTAGCTTGAGTTGCTGACCCTGTGAGCACTAAGCCTGTTAGCCGGGTTTAACACAGCTAGCTGATGAACAAGTCATACCCCAGTTAGTAACCGTGTCACACATATACCTGTCCACCTCATGGCATCGTGCTACAGAGTGATTTAGCAGAATTTGGAAGTTTAAAGGGGACCTTCACCTAGTTTCAAAGTCATACATTTTAGTCCTGTGGTATAAGACAGCCAAAAGATATTAGTAAAAACAACCAACCCTAGTAAAAATAGTCAACAACCATATTCAAAAGTAGAGCGCTGAGTGCCTCAAATTTGTGATATCATCAGGCAGTGATACTCAAGGTAGGGCCTGTGGGCCAAATCTGGCCCTTGATAGGCTGCCAGGTGGTCCGTCAACCATTTTCTAATTCACTATAACAATAAATTGATTCACACTGAAATATTTTGTAGCCCTACTTTGGATGTACATAAGGTGCCACAGAATGTAAAACCTCACCAAAATACAGCTTGCGTATTTAAAAAAAAAAAAAAAAGAAAGTGCAAGTGGAGGATTGCCTAGATCCCCTGCTAGAAGTTTGGGCTACTTTTTTATATATTAGCTATAATGTTTGTTTACTGCAGGGATACTCAACTTGCTTTGCCCGAGGAGCATTTTTGCAAAATAACAGGAGGCCATGTACCAGTCGAATTAGTCCCGCACTAGCCTTGCATTAGCCTCACACTAGTGGGAGGCAGCAGCTCAGTCCATAGAAAGACTGCCCCCGACTAAGAATGTTCCCAGTCAACCGATAGGCGTCATTTAAAGCCATAAGTTGACTAGTTGCCCGCATGTCTGTGATATGGTAACACAATGGTTTGAGAAAGAATAGTGTAAGTAACATTGTTAATAGAAAGAAATACAAAACTGTACTAATGAACCTTCATTAATATAGGCCTATATTTTATCTACAAGTGCATGTCACACACTGAGTGAGCCGCCTGTTAATGACGCTGTTGGCAAAGCAGTAATGATTGTGCTAAGTGGCTAATGGGCATGTAGCTACTTCCATGTTTCAGATGATACGTCATGTTTGTAGTCGACCAATGAAGATGAGTTTACATATCACCTTGGGTTCGTCCTTCACCTTCTCAAAATGATCCCACACTTTGGATTTCCTGCCCGACATGTTATTAACTAGCCTGTGGAATAACCGCAGGTACCAGCCCTGGAAATTGACGTGACTTCCTGTCTGACTGCTGAGCGTGGCCACTTCCTGTTTCTGTCCTTTCAAATTAAATTCACACATGGTCCAGTCATATAGTATAGTTTCCCGTTTGTTTGTTTTTTTTGTTTTTCTGCGACTAAGTGACCAACGAAATCTTGCCGACTAATGACCTTTCTGGTCGACTAACATTTAGTCGACTGTTAGGGGACAGCCTTAGTCCATAGGGACTTGGGTTGGGAACTGAAACCAATTGGGAACCAGTTCGCCTCCTGGGCACTGTCGAGCTGCCCTTGAGTAAGGCTCCGAACCCCCAACTGCTGGCCTCGCTCTGACATCTCCATTTAATCCATGTATAGGTCCTGTTTGTGTAAGTGTGTGTCTTTCGGGCCTGTGTATATATGACAACAGAGCGATTGCATTTCCCCTCAGGGATTAATTAATGAACTGTATGTTCTTCTCACAAAGGTCAGGTTTACACAGGGGCATTTATAGAATGTGAGGACAGAGGGTTGTCAGAGGGTTTGGAGGATCCACCCCTGGCATTGCTTTTATTTGTTTGTTTTGTTTTTGATGCTTTTTTTAAAAAAATATTCTCTAGCACCGTGTTTACATTACAAGTACAGAAAAAAAATCCCAGTGTGAATCTATATATTTTCATTGTGAATTAGAAAATGGTTGGGGGTCCATCCAGCACCCTACCACAGTTTCTGTCTTTGAGAGAGAGTAGCTCATGTTCACAAATACTGATTAAACTTTCCTTGGTCATGGCAATAGCATATTCATTTTTTAATTTAGGTGGTCTTCTCCTTTAATCAGCCATCATGCCAAGTATGAATGAAACACTTTTGACTGAAACGACCATAAGATACACAGAAGTGAATCTGCTGAGTCTACACATCAGTGACTGTTGATTCCCAAGACCCACACAGACGTTACACAGATCTGGTCCATCAGCCCTTGACAGGATTACTAGTCCGTCACGTCAGTCCTCTTGAAAGCTGCAGGTTGTTGGACTGTGCAAATCTGACAGAACACAGTCAAGCCAGCAGGGAGGGAGATTATGTGGGATGATTATGGGCTGTAGCCATGATGTTAGAGGATAGTAACACAACACAACACACACTGACTGCTTGGATAGAGAGAGGAGGGAGGGATATGATGTAATATGGTATTAAGATATATGTAAGTGATGTTGGCCTGGCCTACTTTCGACAGCATTGCTTTGGCTCTTGTTTAAGCTGTGAGTGGTAGTATTTTTGACCTTTCAGTGTCTGTTATCTATACTCCTGGCACAGTACAGCTCCGTGAAATGTAAAAATGTTAGTGTTAATTGCCTTTATGCAGCACTTAGACATGTCATCACAGCAAGGGCACAGGTGAAATTACTAACATGGTGTATCGTTATGTGACATTCAGGTTTTGTAGCCTCAGGGCACTGATATTGTGCATGCTTACTAACTGTAATGGCAAACCAGGACACTTAAAGAAGTATTTCACTGCTGGAAAGATGGTCTTTTCACAAAGCTGGGTTGTCTATTCAGTAGACGAACAGAAATACATCTGAAATTGGTGTTACTTGACCAGAGAAAACAGAGGAAAGGGCTGGAGCATTCGCTTTTGCTCAAGAGGTAGAAAACCTACAACTACCAAAATGCACTGCGCCACACCAGACCAATAAACACCCCCAGTGGAAAGTGATGTATGTAACAATATGGCAGCCAGCTGGTGACAAACAATCTCATATTACCGTTAAACAGTTAATTAAAATATGTCTCTTAAAACATTGTAGGCGAGAAATAGGCAGCGCAGTCACCGAATTTTGGATCATATTTGATCAGCACTGCTTACTTTTAACATATGAGCTGAGTTTTTTCAGCATACAAAACAGGAAATAGTATGGCGCCCACTTCCTGTTCACAAACTCTCGTATTACAGCTAAACAGTTCACTAAAATATGTTTTAAAATACATGTTATGTGGCAGATTTTCATTGGCAAGGGAGCAGGGAGATCTTGACGCTGGCAAGATGAAGGCAAGTTTAACAGTTCATTTACACATACTACCTCCATTGTAATGATACAAAGCTGGTTGAAAATCGTCAAAGAATCCCTTTAATGGAGGAAATGAGGCTTCATTAATTTCTTGAATGAATTAACCTCACAAAGACAGGATTTTTTAAAACCTGTCGCTCTGAAATAGGATTGGTTGACATGCACTGTAAGACTGAATTTGGTCACCATCGGACATTTTGCTGTAGTCATTATCATACTGTGGCATCTAGCCCTTTTATACCTCTGGTTATATTAGACCACTGGTTCCAGAACTATTAAAAATACTCAAACTATGAAATCCCTGGAATGTAATTTGAAATAACTTTTGCCTCCTCTTTAATATTTTTGTTTTGATATCACCTTCATGAACATATGTACATAATTATTTACGGGCTAAACTGTGATGGTAAGTGGCGGTAAGATTAATGGTTCTCTGCTGTATTAATAGAGCAGTAACAGCTATGCTATCTTACTCTGTCTAATTGTTAATGTTTACTACAGTCATTCTGCTGTTCTCTGCTACTAACCAATAAAAGACACCATATCGTTGTCAGATTACTTAAAGGGTAAAAAGTGGAGTAATCAATGATGCATCACGTCATCTTAAATTCACGTGACGGCCGATGAGAGACTCACAGGTCACCTGTCCGTCAGAGGTATGTCTCAAAGACAGTCTTGATGAGAGCATGGACACGTACACATGATCTTTGTACTTGTGACATGTTCATCTATTTAATTTGTTGCGTAGTGGGCAGCTCACTCCTTCATACGCTCTGTCTGTAATTATTGCACAGGGTCTGCTATCCCTTAGACACTACATCCTGTTCTTGCCTGTTCTTGAATTTTATTTGACCAATTAATCTTGAATATTGAAAAATAAATTCATGAAGGGTACCTTAAACCTCTTTCATTTCCAATCCTGTCATTGTAAAGTCTACCGCTTTAAGTCTTTGTCTGTAACCACTTAGTTAATTATTGAGCAAGTCATGCCTCAACACCACTCTTGCTCCTTTGGGGGCCTTCAATTAGAAAACAAATGCTCTGTTGTTCACTAAAATGTCTGTCACTCGTCTAGCCCCTTAAGTCAGATCAACAAAGCAGTTGCACCAGCCCAGTGACTGTGTAAAGTGCTTGACCTGGAAACCAGATTAAAATCCAGATAATGGCTTGGATTGTTGACAAGTGGAAGTGGCTGTTGGATTGTGGCCTTTGAGACTGTACAAGGAGGAGTTTTCCCTTCCCTATTATTATTGCTGTTATTTAAAGCCTTGTTACTGTTAATTATTGTTGTTTTCCTGCCATGAATAAGCACAGTCACTCTGAACCTGACCATTGTTTCAGGCAAAGTGTCACTCAACAGACCTGTGGTGTTTAAAACAAACAAATAGGGTTTTAATCTATATGTTGAAACTGAGACGTACAATATGTATTTTATGCTGCTAGGGGTCTCTCAGTCACAATAATAACAAAAGACGGAGCAATGCTGTCATTCCAGTCAGCTTCTCCCACTGTCTGAATTCCTGCAGTGTTTATCATTCAGGAGGTTTTTACCTGGGGCTGAATTATTCGCAGAGGTTGTTTCCTCTCTTAAGTAAAGCAGTTTCACTTAAAAAAAATGTTTCTTTGAAGCAGTTCGGTTTGTTGCTGCTGGCTGCTAGCCCAGCTCCTGCTTATGTCGGCTCACCTTTTTTCTCAGATATTGTAAAACCAAGATGTTCAGGAGGTTTTAACAGGGAGCTGAATTATCCGCAGAGGGCTCCTCCTCTTGAAAACAAACAGACTTAGGGATTTAACCTGGTGAAAACACTGTATAAAGCAGTTTCACGTTAAAAATCAGTGTTTCTCCAATGCTGTTTGGCACGACAGGGCCTGAAGCTGAGCTGCAGCTAACGTTCGCTCAGCTTATTTCTCTGATAACTTAAGATCCAGACATACGATGATTACAGTCCTTCATTTGGTTAAAAAATAAAGTTATAAACGTCACAAATGATTCATAAAAATTTGGCTTAAAACTTGATAAAAGTCAATTTATGACAGCTTCTGGCAGACAACCACAACCCTGATGCATGTGCCACTGTCAGGCAACGGCGACCAAATGACATAAACCATGTCCTTTATTAAAATGGTTTTGAAGTGTTGGAAATGTTTGAGATACTGTTAATACACAACTCAAACAATATATATATAGCATTGGTCTAGTTGTTTTTAGACATTTTAATGCAGAAGTGTTACATATATCATGTATATCTTCTGTATATCTCTAGAGAGAACTAGAGAAGCAAAGTAAGTGAATGTTATTTGTTCTGTAGTTTCATTTGTCTTGTTTTGTTGACGCAGGTGACAGATCCAGAAGGTTTCAGACAGTAGACATCATATAAAAAATGAACCTAGTAAAAATAGTGCATGTTTATTTGTCAAGGCCTCACAGTTGGGTTGAGCAATATGCGACTTGTTTGAGGCGTGCCTCTTTACTTTTGACAACATTCCCTGACTCTGCATACAGATAAGATAACTTGCCCACGTTGGGGTACAGGTCACCTGGACTTTATCAGTGTGTCACACTGTGACATTGGGCCGCAGCTTCCACTGCACATGAGTCACTGCAGGCAAATAATGTTTAGTGTGTTTATGAATACCTCTATACAGTGCTTGTGCTTCTGTCACAGACACCGCAATGTTTTTCTGTACTGCATTAACAAGTGACCCATTTTCAGACAATATTATTACACTGATTGTCTTTCCCTTCATCTCATAGGTACCCTAGTTGCTATGTCGGTTGCACAGAGTCGCACCAGGAGGCCCAGGGGCTCGTGTCCTCACAGGACGTCGGTACGGAGGAAGAGTCAGGGGAGAAGATTCATCAGCACAAGGTAGAATCAGCTGTATGCTACCATAGTACAAACCACCTAGAGGTTTCACATGAGGCTGTATTAAATGACTCATACTTCATTAAATAATTTAGCGCTCATTTACACACACAGGAAACCCGCTGTTATTGCTAGACTTGTATCAGATTAAAAGTAGTTGCACAACATTATGTGAGTATATAAGTGGAATATATCAGTGGTATCTATGTATTGATGGATTTGTGTGTGTTGTCTGTAGGTTGAGGAAAGCTGGGTATTACCTGCCCAGCCCCCATCTGAAGATGAGCAGCTGATAGAGGATGATCAGCAAAAACAGGAGCAGATAATCCAAGAGGTGGACAAGAAACAATCTTTAGAGGTACAGTATAGTTGTAGCATTCACGTAAATTAAAGGGATAGTGCACCCCAAAATGAAAATTCAGCCATTTTCTACTCACCTATATGCCGACGGAGGCCCTGGTGAAGTTTTAGAGTCCTCACATCCCTTGCGGAGATCGACGGGGGGAACGGGCAGCACACCTAATGGCAGACGGCGCCCCAGACTAACGTCCAAGAACACAAAATTGAATCCAAATAGTATCTCCATACTGTTCATCCGTAGTGATCCAAGTGTGCTGCAGCCGCGACATAAAAAGTTGTTTTGAAAAACGTCATATGAACTCTGTTTTTAGCCTCACTGTAGCCTGTAGCTCTGACTGCTTCTCTGTGCTCCGCGCTCACGTGTGCATGCTCAGGGTGATCGGTGATGCACGGTCTCTGAAGAGCAACACTCTCGTCAGTACTGATGTCCAGATTCTCAAGTGCAGGCATCACCAATTCCCAGTCTGAGCAGCAAAGACTTTCCTCATCCGTTGGCATTGCTTTGCATTTGAAACAACTACACCACCAGGTTTCCAGTGCTCGACTCCGGTATTCTGCGGCTGGCTGAGGGTTAGGCTCATGAGCTGCGGTGGCTGCTTCGTCCAGTAGCCTGAGTTCCGTCC